AACTAGAAACCCCAATGATGATTGTGGCCAAGTTTGGTTAAATTTGGCCTAGTAGTTTCAGAGGAGAAAATTTTTGTAAAAGTTAACGACGACGGACGACAAGTGATGAGAAAAAGCTCACTTGGCCCTTCGGGCCAGGTAAGCTAAAAGGACGGGACAGAGAGTTCCTCTATAGAAACTCAGGCTTCTGAAGAGCCAAGTACATCTTCTAATGCTACGATTAAGCGTGAAAATGCGGCAACAACTTCAAGTGGTACTGGAAAATTTATAAGAAAATTCCAAAACAGCTGGCTATACGAGTTCTCCTGGTTGATCTATAATGAATACGAAAATAAAATGAGCTGATAATTTTGACAGGGCCTTCCTGATTTAGCTGGCCAATCGGATTTCATTGAGGGATCTTAATCACAACAAAAGATATATAAAATGCTTTGCTGAGCGCAGCCTGATACGACCGCAGTGGTCGAACCCTGAACAGTTGGGGCAAATTTGGACACAATATTCAAGCTTGATACTATCTGAATTTGGATTGTGATCAAATTTTTGCCATAATATAGGTTTCTAACACAAAATAAATGTGGTCAAAGATTTTACAAATCTAATGTGCAATACTGTGCAATTGAAGATTTCTTCTTGAAATTTTTCAAAAATTTGAAATTTAAAAATGTTAAAAAAATGAACCAATTAAAAAATATTGGAACCCCCCCACCCCCCCTTTCAAACTTTTTGAATCCCCCTTGGAGCATTAACCATCAAACTCAATCCCAGTCTTTCCTATGTAGTATGGAACCTTGTAGTACAATATTAGAGAGATCCATACACTTAAACATAAGTTATTGTCTGGAAACTTTAAAATGTTTGTTTTGGCTGCTTTTTTGCACTTAATTCCTGCATGTTTGGGGCAATTACCCCCAAACTCAATCCTAGCCTTCCCTTTGTGATATGGAACCTTGATGTACAATGTCAGAGAGATCCATACACTTACACACAAGCTATTGTCTGGAAGCTACAAAAATGCTTGTTTTAGGCCCCTTTTTGGCCCTTAATTCCTAATCTGTTGGCACCATATATAACCCCCAAAATGAATCCCAACCTTGTACTTGTGGTATTAAACATTGTGGAACAATTTCAGAGCAATTGAATTACTTATACTCAAGTTATTATCCTGAAAGTAAAAAAATGCTTGTTTTGTGTCCCTTTTGGGCTCCTAATTCATAAACGGTTGGGACAATCATCTGCCAGATTAAATCCCAATCTTCCTTTTATGGTATTGAACCTTCTTAAAATTTTTTTCATAGAGATCCATTCACTTAAACTAAAGTTGTTGTTTGGAAATCAAATGTGTTTTCAGTTGACGACGATGCAAACGATGACGACATCATAGCACTATATGAACCCATACTAAATTTTGCAGTCTTATATAAATTGCTATTCAAAAGATAATGGAAAATTAAGGGCATATTTTAAATTTAAATTTGCTTTCAAAATTTCCAATGGACTTTGCAACCATAAAAGCCCATTTAAATACATCATAAAAGTATAAAAATAGAAAATGACATCATAGTCATGGCTAAAATTAGAAAACCTTGATCAGCAAAATTTAATAGTAATATCTAAAAATAAAATTCCTTTGTCAACTTTAAATATAACTTCAAAAAATAAATGTACAGCTAATCACCTCAAGAGATTACAACATTTCTTTATAACAAAACCATTGTAAGGGAGGTAACTCTAATGCAAAAAATAAACCAAACCCATTTAAATACATCATTAAAGTATTAAATGGAAAATTCAAATACATCATTAGTATTAAATTGAAAACAACATCATTTATTTTGCAAAAAAAATAAAATATAAAGAAATTTTCTTTTTAATTTCTGAAATCTGAAATGAGAAAAAAGTGTTCCCCTCCCACAATTTCTTTTTTACCCCCCCCCCCCCCCCCACTTTTTTTCCCCCTCCCCACCTTTTTCCAAACAAAAAATTCATTCCCTCAAGATATGGTCATAATCACAATTCAAATTTCCATTGGAGTTTGCAACCATAATTACCCATTTAAATACAGCATACAAGTCTTAAAATAGAAAATGACATACATAACCATGGCTAAAATCAATATTCCTTAATCATCATAAATTTAATAGTAACTTCTTAAAGTAAATTGACAGCTGATCGCCTCAAGACAATACAACATTCCTTTATACATAATTTAAAACATTGTTTGTGTTGGATTACCTCCCTTACACTGCTTTTAAAATGTCTTAATTGTACATTAACCAGGAAACCCTTGTTTTTCCCCCTTTTTTGCCCCTAATTCCTAAACGGTTTGGGCCATAAGCCCCCAAAAGCCAATCCTAACCATCCCTTTGTGGTATAGAAACTTGTGTATAATTTCAGAGAGATCCATACATTTAAACACAAGTTATTGTCTGGAAAACTAAATAGATGCTTATTTGGGCCTCTTTTTGGCCCCTAATTTCTTAACTGTTAGGACCATAACCCCCAAAATCAATCCCAACCTTCCTTTTGTGGTTATAAACCTTGTGTTTAAATTTCATAGATTTCTATATCCTTACACTAAAGTTATTGTCCGGAAACCAAGTGTTTTTCCGACGACGACGACGTGATACCAATATACGACCGCTTTTTTGCGGTCGTATAACAAGGGTCAACTATAGGCAATATTTGCTTTGAACTAAGACTAACTTATTTTATGTCTACTATTCTATATAATAGAAAATCTATCGATATGCTTTTTTTTACTAGTCTTCATTAGCTCTACTGACTAGACTTTCATAACAAATTTCTTAGGCGACCTGAAATTATTTCCTGGCCACTGAAATTTTATATCTGGTGGCCAAAAGGCAACCTGGTCTTTAAACCTACTTTGAGGGCTGCATACATTCTTTTTCAATCTTGTTTTTAATTTCTCTCGACTTTGTAACTAAAGACAATCAAGATTATCACCAGGGAATTAAGGACACAGACCGACAGCTAGGATAACTATTACTTTGTACTTATGATACGGATTCCGTAAATTGACATTAGTGTGTACTTTTAGCTGACGGTATATCATGGAACACTGGCAGATTTCCATTTGCGCTTTATTCTTTATTATTACAATTACATACGGAAAAGTAATTTTACTTTGTTTTATGCATATGGTAAAATTTCTAATATCAGATGTGGACTTGACAGTGATGAAGCTCAGAACCAAGATGGAAACCTGAAATCAGTGTATTTTTGCATTGTCTAATTTAAGTAGATTTCCATGTTATTTCTTTTTCAATTTTAAAAATACTTAAAATGAACAAAAGACAAATGGTATTATTTAAAAATATAATTTTCATCATTTTGAAAGCTGTTAAATGCATAATTCACACCTGTACATGTGCACATGAAAAATTGTCCATGCCCATATTACTAGAATAGCAAGTCCATGAATATTTTTACTAGGAAAATAAATGCCAGACATAATTTACTAGCTATGGGCTTATTTTCCTAGGAAATTTTACCCTAGGACTTACTTTTCTAGTAAAATTATGGTTATGGACAGTCAGGGGTAATACTTATACAAGTAATTTTTGTTTACTTGATGAATATTTACTTGTATAAGTAATTTTGTAAGATTTTTATTTTATTTTCAAGGTTTGAATTATGTCCCCTTAATCTTTTCCAAAAATTTATACAAGTAATTATTTTTTACAACCCCTTAAATTCTTAAGTTTTGGGAGGTCAAATTTTCTGGTTTGCTAATTAATTTTTAATTAGAGTTCAACCTTTTATCTCAAGAACTAAGCAAAGAAATCCATTGCGCTAAGATGTTAACTGCACTAGGCCTTTAAAAATTGCAGTAAATAAGCAGTATTTTGAAGATACCAGACAAATGAGATTTTCATAGTCCATGAAATTATACTTTTATGAATAGTAAAGACAACTATTAATGACACACAATTAAACACTCTATTAGAGCAATGTAGTCAAGAGAAATTCAAGAGTAGATGAAAATAAGACTTTTTTACTTACATAAGTAAAAAATATCTGAATGTCTAAGGGATATAACTCTACCTCTAAGATAATTTACCTGTACCACTAGTTTTGGCCTAAAATTCGAAGTACATCTGATGAAAGATTTTTGACATTTTTTAAACACTTAAGTGTCTACTTCAGTCGATTCAATTCGTTTAAGTAAAAGATTTGAACTGATTTGATGTTTAAAGACGCTCAAATTCAAGCTTAAATATGAAAAATCCCATAAAACGTCACTTTTCAGATGGTTTTTGTCTAAAATGTAAGTGGACGCATCCGTCTTCTGTCTCAACCTTTATATATGTTATGTATTATCATCAAATACAATATATATCTAAATATTAAGACTGAACACAAATGCGGCCACTTCAATTTTAGACAAAACCGTCTTAAAAACAGCACAAATGCTAAAATTGTGAAGATTTCAGTAATTTTGCATGAATTTATGATGCTAGTACCTGATACATGTGCATTGTATTGTCAGAACAGCCAATATTTATGGAACAAAAGCATTCTCCTTTCTGCTCTTTGGTCGGGTTGTTGTCTCTTTGACACATTCCCCATTTCCATTCTCAAGTTTACTTTCCAATAAACAGCTAAAAGTTTACATTTCAACAAATTTGTAAATATGTTATATTTTGGGGCCAAAAGCGGTCTTACCGAACCTACTCCTTTTACTACGGGACCAAATTTACTGTTACAATTACTCCTATAAGGACACATTAACAATTTCCTACCACTAAAAAGAATGACAGATCATTATCTGCTGAATGTTTTGAGGTGACAATGTTTTGTATTTGTTATAATATTTAAAATATAAGCCAAAAACATGACAACTCTTATGTTCTATTTTTTGCAAAAGAAGTAATTCTTTTTTGCTTGGCTGGCATACACAATCTAATTTTTATGTAAATTTATTTATATATATATATATATATATATATCTAACAGATCAGTTCTATTAGTTTTACCTATAAGGTCAACATAACTGTAGTCCCCCTTGTGCAATAGTGCTCTCTCTGTGCCAACACCAACCATTACTGAGGTACCATTTGGGGGCTCAAGGAAGTGTACATCCCATACATGTATTCCACTTGTAAAACCTTTAGTTCCTCTCACACCTGTTAAAAAAACAAAAACAGCTTATTAGTAACAACATTAAAATAACAATAAATTAATTTGAATGATTGTGAACTCACATCAGTTCTTAATTACACCAATGTTAATTCTTAATTAAATGAAACATTTTGTCTTTTAAAACTTGGTATCACTGACTTTAATTCATGCACATAACAGCAACCATGACCTTAATAATCTCAAACATACACAACCAACAGGTAACACATACAACATAAGTTTTAGGCACTGTTCAGAAATCATGTGTCTGTGGACACCATAATGATTAATTGATTGTTGTTTTTTTTTTGTCCAGTGGCAAATATTTCATGCATGTTCAGGACGATGGACACCAATATCATTTAATGATATGTTCTTAGGTCTGTATAGGTATGGTATACACACATTCAACTGATTTAAAAAGGTATAAGATGACATTATATTCATAAGTTATGGTTTGCCGAGGTCTCATCGCTATACATATTCATAAATAGAAGGGATGTTTATAAGTTGTGCAATTTGTTAATCGTCAACTGATATAATAAGCACGCTAAAATACTACATGTGTTGAAACAACAGTACACAATACACTAGTTATGTCAATAAAATACAGAATTATCAGAAGAATGAAATCACCAGACTTGAATGTAATCATATAAAACTCGCACAAACATGAAGAAAAGTCCAATGATACCAAGATTACTTTTAAACCCGTTGTTCCTACAACATCTCAATAATTTATACAATGTATTTTATTCAAATTCATAAAAGTCTGTATCTTCTCACCAAGCAATATCAGTTTTTTAAGCAAAATTTTCATAGAAAGTACATTTGTATTCCTTTGTTTCATTCAGGGAATACTCTGCCATTCTTTTATTTCATCAAAAACATTACTGTAATACAAATGTATAACTCTATGATAATGGACACTAAGTGAGGATATGTTTTACAAGGCCAAAATGCCATGCAAAACTTTTAAACACAATAGTTACGATAAACTGTGCCATTTATAATGGCTGTTGATTTACCTCCACTCAAACATCTTTTCTCTGGAGTTGTCTCCCCTCACCTGTAACACAAACCATTAATAATACATGTTCAAAAAACACGTATAAAACGTGTTGTATAAAAATCAATGTAGTGAAAATCCTTCAAAAAAGACCAATACTATTTACAATTAAAAAAATTCTTTGGCCATTACTTTTTTTTTAAATGTAGTTATAAATAATTTATTTATATAAGAACGGAAAAATCTACCAAATGTCAATATGAAACAAAAATGTATCAAAATAATAAAAGCTTACATTTAAAAAATATTAAAAAGAATCAATAAACCTGAATAACATAGCTGAGAAAGTGATACAGAAGATTGTTTCCCCGAGAAAAACATTGTCAATCAAGGTACTCCAAGATTATTGACAATGTTTCTTCGACGGTAACAATCTGTTTTATCACCCTCTCAGCTTTGTGCTATAAAATGAAAATACTGAATCTATTGTTATCAAGTTAATTTATAATGTCTTTATGAATTATTGATTTAAAATTAAAATCATTGTCTTTTTAAATTATTGATTTATAATTAAAATCCTTGTCTTTTTAAATTATTGATTTAAAATTAAAATCCTTGTCTTTTAAATTATTGATTGCTCTGTATGAGAGGGTGACATTAAACAAATTGTTATCCCCTCATATGTAAGAGTATCAACCAAAAAAAAAACGGCATTTTAACATTAAGTATAATAAAACTGAATATCCCTATCAGGATTTAAGAAATTTATTATTCCATAATATAGTTTTAAAATATTGATATAGGTAAAAAAGACACAGCACTGTAACAGGATATAAAAGGTCTTTTATATAAGGTAAAAGTTATACATATGAACATATAAAAATACTTTATATACAAAATAAAATAAAGAATTTAAAGATCTTTATCTTAAAGTATTTATACATAAATTATATAACAAAGTTACATATTTATTAAAATGTTGAAACTGTGTATAAAAAAAAGGTGTTGGAGATACATGTATTTCATACTTTCTATTAAACTGTTTACCCTAAATGTAAATTAAAAAAACATGATTGCAAAATGTCACTTTGTAACTATACAATATAAAACAAGTTACATGTATGTTCTTTCTCAAGTGTTGATTTCAGGACAAATAAATATATATTTTACATAAAAATTGAATGATTTTGATAGAACATTGTATTTTACACAAGAATATGAAACACCCTACTCATAAAACAAGCTGTCACATCAAAATCATTCAAGAATTGCTTGCATGCAGAAATATAAGCCAAATTAAAAAAAAAAAATCCATAATTCTGCAAAAAGTAAATCTGTGGTTAAGTATGGTCATCAACTACTCATCATTACTAATATGAAAAAGGTTGTACAAAAGGACAAGATAGACAATATCTGCCTAAATAATACTTAAAATAAATGCACAGGAATTGGAAATATTCTGTCATTAAAAGTTGATCATTTTTGCACCTATAAATTTTATATCAGATCTGCAGAAGTCATATACAATTCAAATAAATTCTATTTAAATAACTTTAAAAAAGTCTGATTAAATCTCATATCATTTTTATGTTCAAAATCTCATTAAGTCATTTATTAGAGTGAAAGTACTCTATGTCACTCCAATAGTAAGATTTTGAACATAAAAATGACATTCCTACAAAATATATCTTTATTTCAATCACTGTTATTTTTTTTTTTTTATGTTTTTAGCATGCATGAAAAAAGTTTATAACAAGTTCCAGTGCTGTGTTTCTTTATGAAATACAATGTAGCATTTGATTTGTAATCATGGTAATGAACAGATATAAATAACAGTACAGAAGAGATGAGATTACCTGCAGTGCCTGTACTTTGGTAGACTGGATCTGTATAGAAGTAGACATTCTCCTGGTCTGAGGAGAGCAGTACCTCAGGAGACTTGTTTAACTGGTCCCACACCCAGTTATCAGGATTATAATCAATAGAAGTCCAAGCAAAATTCTCAGGCATCTGACCAACTGTTAATGCTAAAATAAAACATAAAAGTCTGTTAACACTGGTCATTAACTCTGTTATAATCAATATAAGTCCAAGCAAAATTATCAGGCATCTGACCAACTGTTAATGCTAAAATAAACAAAAAAGTCTGTAAATCCTGGTCATTAACTCTGTTGTTTATCTTATGATCAGCAGATCAATGAACTTTTTTAATTAACTATCATGCAGTACTACAATTTAATTAGCAAGACTCAAGATGTATCATATCTGATGCAACACTCCACAATATTGGTAGTTAATCAACATATGACTGAGATCTCCATAGAAAAAAACTGCTTCTATGTTGTTCAACTGTGCCAAACAAGAAATACACATGAAAAATGTCAGGGGAATTACTAAAATAAGTGATTTATAAAATCACTTATTTAAGTAGCAAATTAGAAATTCTGTGATTTTATAGTTTTACCAAAATTTTAAAAACATACAGGTTTAGATTATATCTTATCATTAGTAAAATTGAAAAAAAAATAAACCTTTTGATTCTTTTAAGTAGCAAGGTTTATGCCTTTGATGCAATCATTCAGCTGTAAATTCTATATTTGGTGAAAAAATGCTATAATGAAGGCTTTACATAATGAAATAATACTTTCTTAACAGATTTTTCCCAGCAGTGGGAGTATTTTTCCTGTTAAATTCAAGGTTTCATCTTACAGATTATGTAATAAAATTTTACTGTTCGGGGGTGTTGAAATTATTGGGGGTAATTAAAATAATAATACTTAAAGAAGTGATTTTTTGGAAGAAAATAGAGGCATGATACTTAAACAAGTGATTTTCATGTCATTATCCCAGATTCAGTACAATGTCATCACCTGACATGACCGGTCATCCTATAAACACAGATGTTGGTTCTGATAATTTTAGCAACATAATTAGTCCCTGGATAATTAGTAGTGTATATTTAAAGCTACAATAAAATTAAATCACTTAGTCTAGTGATTTATTTGTACTACTTAAATAGGTGATTATTAAAGAAAGACAACTCTTACTTCCAACATTTGTGAACAACATGTTACTTGAATCAGTGATTTAGAAATCATTCATTTAAGTAAGACCCCTGACTGATACATGTACATGCACAATAACAGGACTTACGTATACACTACTTCTGAATCATAGGGAGAAGTGACTTCTCTTTTAGAAATTGATAGGGAGAAGTAGTGAGACTTAAAAAGAGAAGACTGCTTCTGAAGTTCCTCTCTGGCGGCGCTATAATGTTTGATTTCAACAATGATATATCAGTGTTCCAGCTAGGATTTCAAAAGGGCAGGGAGCCAATCATGAAAAGGGCACTTTAGCACGATGATTGATATTTCAAAAAGGGCATGTCAAACATTGTCTTATGTTAACTGCAGGGGTTTCAGCTAGGAGTTTTGAGGGAGTTTAGTCAATTTTACGCTAGATGAAAATCAACCTTATTTTGGGTAACAATATTAAAGGGACCATGCAAGGATGTATACTAGCTCAGTCTTCCCTAGAACATTTTTGATGCATGGTAGGTCTAAGGTTAAGATGCAATGCAGCGGCATTTTGTAGAATTATTTTTATTTCATTGTGCATACATGTCAGTTAAATAACTACACATAAATCTGCAATACAGTCAGGAACAATACCTAACATTTTCTCCAGGGGCCAGGGTGGATCCCAAAACTTTTTTCCAAGGGCCCAGTAGAAATTTTAAGGCCCTACCAGGGTATTTTTACTACAGGTACATACTTATTAATAGTCTTGAATGTTCTTATAAAGGCAATAATATATGTTTGAAATGCCTAATACATGTAGCCCAGTGTTTCTGATTATGATAGAAATAATAAATGAATTATAATAAACCACATTGAGTTTTTCAGGATTTAAAATCCATTTAATCATGTCTATTCAGACTGTTAAACTTATATTTGTAATATTATATATGAAAAATATATAAAAAAATCCCCCCCCCCCCCCCTTTTTCCATTTTACACACCTCTAGATGTAGAGTATTAAAGTATTATCAGTTTCACCCCAAAAAAGTATTCATTTTTAAAGAAATAATCTTAGCAGTTAATCAAAATGAAAATCTTACTGTCTATAAATAAAATGTAACTGTTTCTTGTTAAAGGGGTTTTCCGAATTTTCCTGCCAAAAAAGCACATGGCTTTCAACAAATGTAAACAAAGCAGTCAATTTGTGATCATGGATTACAGCTTTAATTAATTTAATTTGGATATACATGTAGATATTCAATGAAAGGTACAGTCAAGCATTGTTTTTACTTTTTCGGGATTGAAACTAGTTTAAAAGATCAATTTAAAAAAAAAATCTTTGACATATAAACAACTGACGATCTACAGATACATCAAACGCAAATTGTCACCTTTTGAGAAATATTGAAATTTAAATGCTGACTGACCGAATTAAATGAGAAAAATTATTACAATGATCAATTATGAAGTTTAATTAACGGATTAATGACCCATCCGATGTCGATAAGCGGATATCTGTAATCACAACTTATTACACCTGCTGTAAAAGTTAATTAGCTGAGGGTCATAAACTTGTCATAAATATGAAGACAGGTAGAATAATTGTATTTTCATCAAAATATTACGGCAATAAAGGCATGGACTTACGAAAAAAGGGCAGGGCGTCTTAAAAAGGGCACAGGGCGTCAGAAAAAGGACACAGGGCGGCACTCGGGAAAGGGCGGGCGAACCGCCCTGTGAAAACGTCCTAGCTGGAACACTGTATATCTTACCACTTGTATCCTATTCATTTAATTCTTTTTGTATTGTCCATATTAAATCACGTCTGAATATATTATTACAGTAACAGTAGTCTCAGTTTATGTCTTAAGTTGTCCTTTATTTGCAGTAGACAAATTACTAGACTTACCTATACAACCAAGAGAAACTTGGTTAATTCTGTTCTCTATTTGACTGAAAAGACTAAATGTGTGGCTAACAAGGGTATGTCTATTTCTGTTAAATCTGACTGATTTCTTCTGTATAATCTGCTTTATCTCTTTAATACAGTGCCAACTCTTCTGTGATAAACAAGAATATTTGTACTATTGAACACATTGCTGTTTTGTATAAATCATAACTCGTACACAAATTTCTTATAAGTTATCAATACTTTCCAAACCTCTTAAAATAATTACAAGAACATCATTTCACTTCATTTTTAATAAATAAATTATCTATGCAAGTCTCTTAGATCGGCAATTTGTACATATACAAAAACGTATGTTCGTTGTTTTTCCAATTTTTGTGCTTCATGCTGACCTGAAGAGACAAGCCATTTCCAACTGATTTTTGCAGTTTGTTTTTTTCAAGTACATGTGAACACGTATGTTGTGCTGTAACACAACTGTCACAGGTAAAGGGAGGGATGAGCACTCACAAACATTTTTAATCCTGCCACATGCTATATTTGCCTGGCCTACATGTAAGTCAGGAGCCTGCAATTGAGTGGATGTTGTTAGTTGCTGTCTGTCATATTTGTTTTAAAGTTATAGTTTTGTCATAAATCAGGCTGATGTTTTTTTCGTTCATCTTATATCTTAATATATAATAGTCCATCAATTTACAATACAAAATCACAAAACAACACTACTGGAAGGCAAATTATACTGTATGTACCAGTAATGTTATCGCCAAGTTCAGGTGATCCCAACGTTGTCACGAGGCCCACAAGTCAAATTGCCTTTTAATAAAATGCTCCGCAGGGCGCAGCTTGATACGACCGCAGAGGTCGAACCCTGAACAGTTGGGGGAAGTATGGACACAACATTCAAGCTTGATACAGCTTTGGATTTGGATTGTGATTAAATATTTGACACAGCATAGGTTTCTAACACAGATTGAATGTGGTCTAAGAACTTAAAAATTTTAAATTGGACATTCACCTATTATGGTCCAATATCCAAAATCTAAATACATGGTTAGATTCAGCATATCAAAGAACCCCAAGAATTCAATTTTTGATGAAATCAAACAAAGTTTAATTTTGGACCCTTTTGACCTCAATGTGGACAAAGTTGATAACGGGGCCCAAAAATCAAAAATCTAAATACATGGTTAGATTCAGCATATCAAAGAACCCCATATATTCAATTTTTGTTGAAATCAAACAAAGTTTAATTTTGGACCCCGATTTGGACCAACTTGAAAACTGGGCCCATAATCAAAAATCTAAATACATGTTTAGATTCAGCATATCAAAGAACCCTAAGAATTCAATTTTTGTTAAAATCAAACTAAGTTTAATTTTGGACCCTTTGGACCTTAATGTAGACCAATTTGAAAACGGAACCAAAAAATTAAGAATCTAAATACACGGTTAGATTCGGCATATCAAAGAACCCCAATAATTCAATTTTTGATGAAATCAAACAAAGTTTAATTTTGGACCCTTTTGACCTCAATGTGGACAAAGTTGATAACGGGGCCCAAAAATCAAAAATCTAAATACATGGTTAGATTCAGCATGTCAAAGAACCCCATATATTCAATTTTTGTTGAAATCAAACAAAGTTTAATTTTGGACCCCGATTTGGACCAACTTGTAAACTGGGCCCATAATCAAAAATCTAAATACATGTTTAGATTCAGCATATCAAAGAACCCTAAGAATTCAATTTTTGTTAAAATCAAACTAAGTTTAATTTTGGACCCTTTGGACCTTAATGTAGACCAATTTGAAAACGGAACCCAAAATTTAAGAATCTAAATACACAGTAAGATTCGGCATATCAAAGAACCCCAATAATTCAATTTTTGATGAAATCAAACAAAGTTTAATTTTGGACCCTTTGGACCTCAATGTGGACCAATTTAAAAACGGGGCCCAAATTCCAAAAACTAAATACACGGTTAAATTCAGCATATTAAAGAACCCCATGAAATCAAGAATAAAACCCCATTGAAATTGGTCAAGAAATAAGCAATTTATAGGAAGTATCTTCTTTTGCACAATCCTGTGCTATTAAATATTTCTTGCTATTGCGCAATACTGTACAATTGACAATTTCTTGCTATTGCGCAATATTGTGCTATTGGATATTTCTTGCTATTGCGCAATACTGTGCAATTGAAGATTTCTTGCTATTGCGCAATACTGTGCAATTGAAGATTTCTTGCTATTGTGCAATTGAAAATTTCTTGCTATTGCACAATACTTATTATATAATAATTTACACATCCTGTTTGGTGTGTATCTCCTACCATATCATTATTATTTGATTTTAAATATAAATCAGAAATAACCAACTTAAAATGGAAAATTTTAAAAGAAACAAAAAAGGAAAAAAAAATAAATCCCCCCCCAAAATTTTGTGAACCCCCATTATGATTCATCACCCCCAAACTCAATCCCAGCCTTCCCTTTGTGGTATGGTACCTTGCAGTACAATTTCAGAGAGATCCATACACTTGAACACAAGTTAATGTCTGGAAACTAGAAAAAAATGTGTTTTTTGGCCCCTTTTTGGCCCCAAATTCCTAAACGTTTAGGGCAATTACCCCCAAACTCAAACCCAGCTTTCCCTTTGTGATATGGAACCTTGTAGTACAATTTCAGAAAGATCCATACACTTACACACAAGTTATTGTCATGAAACTAGAAAAATGCTTGTTTTTTGCCCCTTTTTTGGCCCCTAATTCCTAAAATTTGGAGGCAATTACCCCCAAAATCAATCCAAGCATTCCTTTAGTGATATGGAACCTTGTGGTACAATGTCAGAGAGATCCATACACTAACACACAAGTTATGTCTGGAAGTTACAAAAATGCTTATTTTTGGCCCCTTTTTGCTTTACTGTTATTACCATAACCCCCAAAATCAATCCCAACCTTCCTTTTGTGGTATTGAACCTTGTGGTAAAATTTCATAAAGATCCATTCACTTAAACTAAAGTTAGAGTGCGAAAACCAATGTGTCTTCGGACGACGACGACGCCAACGTCATACCAATATACGACCACAAAAATTTTTTTGCGGTCGTATAAAAACAGAGAAGGTCTTACCTTTCATATTTTTATAATCCCTTATTACAGCCGTAAGCAGAAATAATCTAATCACCAATAAACTGGATAATACTGGTTTAACTCGGGTAATATTTATCCAGACTACTGTCATTTAGTACTCCGTTAAACCAAAATACCAGACATAATTAGTTATCAAAATAAAATAATTAAATCTTTAAAAAAGAAATACAATTTTATGATTACTGTAGAGGTGTTTCGCTGACCGATCTGTGTGACCAATATACTCTGCAATCAATAGGTTTGTTTACAACTATGTCAATGGTTTCGGGTGAAGGTCAATCAAGGCAAAAGAATAACGGAAAGACTTCGGTAATCATCGCTATTAAGGACGTGGATGGGGGTCGTTCTTTTCCTTATTCTTGCTTTTTTGAGCCCAATATTTTCTATTCTCTATATCTTAGCACTCCCATTATTATCTTTTCTTTATTCTTTTAGCCTTTTTTCTCTTTTAGAAATTGATAGGGAGAAGTACTGAGACTTAAAATAGAAGTGCTTCTGAAGTTCCTCTCTGGCGGCGCTATAATGTTTGATTTCAACAATGATATATCTTACCACTTGTATCCTATTTATTTAATTCTTTTTGTATTGTCCATATTAAATCACGTCTGAATATATTATTACAGTAACAGTAGTCTCAGTTTATGTCTTAAGTTGTCCTTTATTTGCAGTAGACAAATTAAATTACTAGACTTACCTATACAACCAAGAGAAACTTCGTTAATTCTGTTCTCAATTTGACTGAAAAGACTAAATGTGTGGCTAACAAGGGTATGTCTATTTCTGTTAAATCTGACTGATTTCTTCTGTATAATCTGCTTTATCTCTTTAATACAGTGCCAACTCTTCTGTGATAAACAAGAATATTTGTACTATTGAACACATTGCTGTTTTGTATAAATCATAACTCGTACACAAATTTCTTATAAGTTATCAATACTTTCCAAACCTCTTAAAATAATTACAAGAACATCATTTCACTTCATTTTTAATAAATAAATTATCTATGCAAGTCTCTTAGATCGGCAATTTGTACATATACAAAAACGTATGTTCGTTGTTTTTCCAATTTTTGTGCTTCATGCTGACCTGAAGAGACAAGCCATTTCCAACTGATTTTTGCAGTTTGTTTTTTTCAAGTACATGTGAACACGTATGTTGTGCTGTAACACAACTGTCACAGGTAAAAGGAGGGATGAGCACTCACAAACATTTTGTCACGAGGCCCACAAGTCAAATTGCCTTTTAAAAACAGAGAAGGTTACCTTTCATATTTTTATAATCCCTTATTGCAGCCGTAGGCAGAAATAATCTAATCACCAATATACTGCCTTAACTGGATAATACTGGTTAACTCGGGTAATATTTATCCAGACTACTGTCATTTACATGTTAGTACTCAGTACTCCGTTAAACCCAAATACCAGACATAATTAGTTATCAAAATATAATAATTAAATCTTTAAAAAGAAATATACCTTTATGATTACTGTAGAGGTGTTTCGCTGACCGATCTGTGTGACCAATATACTCTGCAATCAATATGTTTGTTTACAACTATGTCAATGGTTTCGGGTGAAGGTCAATCAAGGCAAAGAATAACGGAAAGACTTCGGCAATCTTCGCTAATAAAGATGTGGATGGGGGTCCTTCTTTTCTTTATTCTGCATTTTTTTTTAGCTGAATATTTTCTACTCTCTATATTTTAGCACCCCCATTATTATCTATTCTTTATTCTTTTACCCTTTTTCTTTTATATTTTTCTGTTTTTCAAATCTGCACTTTTTGTCCATTATTCTCTATTCTATATACCACACCCAGACCCTCATATAACAGTTGTTTTTTTAAAACGTTTTACAAGTGAGGTCGTCTATTACTAGGGTAATAATGAGGGTCTGAATGTTAACAGAATAGTATAATCACTATTCATGTAGAATAAAAAAAGATAGAACAGTTCAAACAAAGATATTGTAACATTTCAGTTATATGTTAGGTCAAGTGTGTTATCTGATTGTATCAGGTTTACGTACTTCTTCTATGTTATGGCATCCAGTTATCCATCAGACTTTTGATGATTACTAACTGTTGCGCATGCGTAGGATAATAATAAATAAATATTTACAAAATAATAGTGCCAAAAATAAACAAATACTAACATGACATGTGATTAAAACTATATACACAACTACTACCTTACCCTGGGAACAGTATATCTAACATATGTTCCTGCCTTATCTAACCTCTGTATCTTTAACCCCCTTTGTAGAGGAACCATACGCTAGTATGTAGAACTTGTGATCCGCAATTTCTATGTACAGTGATGCCTCCATCAATATGTTGCAGTGCTCTATATTTACAGTGAAATCCTACCCACACACACTTATATTAAAAATCCTTTGTTTTATAATTAAAATGTTTCTGTGCCTATCATACGGTGGTTAAAAGTCAGTCACTATAAAATATAAAATTCCTTTCCATTTGTTTTCGGTTCCCCTAACCGTTTTGTATACGTAGCTAGATATGCTTTAAAAGTATAACTCATTTCTGTAAGATATCAATATCATTATTCCATAAAATCATTTGTTTTCGTATCACGGTAAGATGATAAAAGAATGAGTGCCTCTTCCTCATGATTTAAAAGATATAAAGTAAAGTATTGTCTAAAAGTTATATTCGGTTCTTCTAAAAAGTCCTTTATATAATCCATATATTGCTTAAAATTCTGTTGGCTATTTATAATTTAAGATAATTTCGATATTAGATCGCACACTTTAGTAAAGTGTCACCACTAGTATGTATATATGGTAAAATAGGTTCATTATTTTTCACTCTGTAAATTGACTAGTATATATGAGTTTTGTGGTTAAGATATTGTTTCTTCTGTTATGGTAGTGGTTAGCTTTTCCTTTTAAAGTCATTATCCTTATTATTATCAACCGCATACTATCTTATAACGGGCTATATGTAGCTGGTATATCAAGCGTCTAGTTAGGCGTTCTACTTTTGCTACACTGGCTGGAGAGAGTTTTCTTGATGTTGCAACCGGTGTGATGTCCAGAATTATTTGCAACTTTTCATTGTCCAAAAGTTCATTAAATTTGATTCCAAGACTATCTAGTACAACAACTGTTTCTAGTAGTATCTTATTCCTCACATTACGGAGTTGTTCACATTTTAATATGAAATGGGTCACAGTTTCGTCATCCTTTGAGCATAGTAGGCATTTCGGATCGGTTTCGTCCTTGTACATTTTTATCCGTTTGCTTTGTAGTATATAGGATCCAGTAAGCAGCTTAAGTTTAACTGGTAGTCTTGTCGTATCTATGGCTGAATGGCAGTTAATTTTGAACAGAGGATGAATTTTCCCTTTTTCCAGGTTTCCTGTTGTGAGATGGTCCAGTCCATTATATAGTGGCAGTAGTTGCACTATTGATTTACTCCAGTAGTTATGTACTGTTCTCTTGATGTTTGAGGTCCATAAGGATTTTTTTACGGGGTTATCCAGATACAATGTAGCCTCTTGTAGATCGTACTTCCTGAGCATATGTTTTATAGCGACAAACCAACTAGAACTTTGGTTGTTTTTTAGGATAAGTTGTCGTCTAGCTAGTGATTTTTCTATGCTTTCTTCGGGCTGATTACAGATGTTGTTGAATAGTCCAAGTGCTCGGATATGTAGTTGGGCTTCTATTGGTAGTATTCCGGTTAAGATGTTAATAGTTATATCTGCTACTAGGTTTACTGTTCTATATTGTAGAGAACAGTAGGTGTCAACTGTTCTCTAAAAATATTTAGAGTGGAAGAAAGTACTACCTTTGGAGGTAGTACATTCCATTGTGTAATAGTAAACGGAAAAAATGAATATTTGTAGCAGTCTTTAAATGTAAGTAGGTGTCTGTAAGTTTGTGGATGAATTTGTCGGGTTCTATTGTCTGTTGGTATGAGTAATTCTGATGGTACAGCGACAATATGGTGAACAATTTTATAGAACATTATAAGTCTAGTTTTAAGTCTGCGTTGTTGTAAGGTAGGCCAATTTAGAGTATTGAGCATGTCTGTAACGCTACTGGTGTTGTGATAACGATTACAGCCATACCTAGCAGCCCGACGTTGAACCATCTCAAGTTTATTGCATTGTTCAGCAGTATGAGGGTTCCAAACCGAACAAGCATATTCTAGTTTTGGTCGGACAAGTGCTAGGTACGCCTGAGACTTAATGTTTGTGATGGATGTTTTTAGATTTCTTTTTAGAAAGCCTAGGCTTTTATTATCATTACCAATGATGTTGTTTGTATGCTGGGTCCATTTTAAGTCGGATTGCAGTGTTATACCAAGATATTTAGCGGAGGAGACAGATTCTAGGGTATGGCTGTGAAGGATGTAGTCGTGTTTAATTGTATTTTTCTTGTTTGAGGCAGTGAGAACTGTACATTTGTCAGGATGGAAAGCCATCAGCCAGTCTTCTTCCCACTTTGCAGCAGCATCAAGATCTTCCTGAAGGCTATCACAATCTTTTTTAGATTTGATGCTTTTGTAAATGATGCTGTCGTCTGCGAATAGTCTGAGTTTACTGGATTTCAAATATTCTGGTAGGTCGTTTATATATACCAGAAATAGAACGGGACCCAGAACTGTTCCCTGTGGGACACCAGAAGTAACTGGAGCAACATCTGATGACTCTCCATCCAGGACAACTGTTTGTGTGCGGTTGGATAAAAAGGCAGAGATCCAGTTAAGTGTTTCATTTTGTATACCATAGAAATGTAGTTTGTATAAGAGTCTTTGATGTGGGACTTTGTCAAAGGCTTTGGCAAAGTCCATAATTATAAGGTCTGTTTGGGTGTTATAATCTGAATTTGAAGCTAGTTCTTGTATGAAAGATAGAAGTTGTGTTTCACATGATCTAGAGTGTCTAAAGCCGTGCTGGAGGTCGTATAATAGGTTGTTTTTTTCTAAGTGGTTAATTAAGAGTTTTGTTATGACGTGTTCCATTAGTTTGCAACTGATACAAGTGAGAGAGATTGGTCTGTAGTTACCTGCATTGTATTTTTCCCCTTTTTTGTATGCTGGTGCGTACATCTGTATTTTCACACATAGCCATTTAATACAGTTAGAGATCATCAGAGATTATATTAATTAGGAGTTATATTTAGATTTCTTTGTTTGACTAGTGAGCCCTAATGATTTGCATATGGTGCCCTAGTAAATTTATGTAAGGAGCACGGAACACTAGGAGCCCGGATCACCGGAGCACCCGGACTTCCGGAGCACGGACTACACGGAGCCCAGTTGCCCTTGTAGTCTATATTTGTATACGGGCTTGTAGGAGTCATATAAAAGAGAGAAAGAGCGTGAGATAAAGAATAGAGAGAATTTATAGTGAGGAGAGGACAGTTACGTTTGTAGAGTAGAGAGGAGAACCGTATTGTTGAGCCTGAAGTTAGATGTAAATTTTGTTATACTTGTATAATGTGATTTTGATAATACAGTATTGAACTTTTATTCGACTTCGTGTTTATGATCACTTACAAGACTTCGTTCAGACTGCACCAGGATCCATTTATTTATTTATGTGACCAGGATTCCCTTAATCACGCTACCAGTAGATTTCTAGGGTAACCCTGTTAAAGAGTATACTTGGCATTTGTCGTCCGTGTATGAGTGAAAGGCACGACCTGAAACTTATACACCCAACAACACAGCACAAACACACGGATACGCACTTTTGTTCAAGTACCATACTAAACTTTTTCGTCACATTGGTGGCAGCGGTGGGATCTACTGTGTGTGACTTCAACGAACTTGTAATTATATAATGGAAACACCAAGAAGAAGAATAAGGACATCAAATCAGGCTCCAACGCTTTCTCAGGTAAGGCAGAATTGCTTAAGAAACCAGATATTTTCCCCAGTAGATTCTGGGTTAGGTAGTTCGCCTGCCACTGGTACTCTCCATGATGTTCACACGGAGACTATGCCAGATATCCGGTATCGCCGGAGAATCGGGCATTGTTCACCGAGGAACAATCAGGATAGAGCTGTCCAGGAGATGAGCAATACGCAAAGTGGTAAAGAAAATGGTTGGAAGAAATTTTGGCAAATATGGATTAGTTTGCTTACTTTCAGTAGCGGCCTCGTTGCAACAGCATGGATTTATTTTCCTAACAATAGAGCAGTACAGAAGTCTCAGGAATATGTAGTGATTGGATTATTAGCGATAATATGCCTGATAATTTCAACGATAGTTTTGAAATTAGTATGGAATTCCGTCATTCCTGGCTATAAGTCAGAAAACACTGCATATACATGGTCCAGGAACAGGCGAAGCCCTAATCATATGTATAATGGGCTAAACCGTACTCCGGATAATGTTATCACTGATACTGGTAAGCCCTATGACTCAGATGAAATGCTCTCGTACTCGAGCCCTTGGCCTAATTGCCCTGTTATAAACGGGCAAAGGCAAATGGAGCTTGAGTCACCCGGGCAAACATCGGAAAACATGGGCTTATCACTAGGACATGTCCAACTGCCAGAGTCTGATAGTATAGAAAATGAATGTACTGACATAAACGGAACGACTACGGAATACCCGAATACTTGGTGTATCCGTGGAAGGAACGTTCCTCCATCTAATGAATATCCTGTACGGAGGACCTTTTCCGGAGCAAGGAATGATGTTTGGAATGAGTTTATTCAATACTTCGAGAATATATCCGAGTTAAATGTATGGAACAACGAAAAGTCTCGAAGGGTCCTACTAAGCACTCTTAGGGGACAAGCGGAGACGTATGCATACGGGATGCCAGTTATAATACAGAGAGATAATAATCGTCTTAAACAAAAGATGGAAGAGAGATTTGGACATACGGCGATGAAAGAAAGGTATGTGACAGAGGCAAAACTGAGAAAGAGAAAACCGGAAGAATCTTTGAGAGATTTTGTTCAAGCCATAGAGGATTTGTACCGTAGAGCGTATCCGGGCAATCCTGAGATTGTAGAGGAGAACTCTATCAAAGCGTTCCTTGACAAGTGCGGACAGTCAGAAGATTTTCGCCTTGCTGTCAAGCGAACCAGACCTAATACCCTGCAAGAGGCGGTAATTAATTCAATGCAGGAAGAATGCTTAAGAGTAGGAGAAAAGGACCTCGCCAAGCATTTCAAACCAGTTCAGCGTCCTATATTTGAAGTTGAAGACGGGGATAGTGATGAAGATGTAACTGCAGAAGCAGAAGGAACACGAAGAGAAAATGTCGACAGAAATAAAGTTCCTGATAATTACCCACGGAATAACGGTAAAGGATCCCAAGGGAGATTCTATAACCGTGATATATGGCATGGAAGAGACAGATCCCCGATGTTTAAAAATCGTCCACCAGAATTTCCGGAACCGAGAAGGGGACCGTAGAGATTCTCGAAAGACAGATTTTGCGCAGAGGAGATCGACACCAGAGGCCAGATGTCGGTCATCCGGCATGGACGGTCTAATGAAAAGAAAAAACCCACAATGAAACGACGGAAGAAGATAGTGAATAAACCAAGTGACTTTATAAACAGTTGTTTATTTATTGTGTAAACTATGTTGTTTTATACAGAAGTTTGTCTGTGTTTGTTTATAAAGTAGAAGTTTTGCTTTATTTGGTGCTCGAAACCCTGAATACATTTTTATGGTGTCTCGAAGCCCTTTAAAATTACAATATGTCGCTTGAAACCCTTCAATCATGGTGTCTCAATGCCCATTAAACAATGATTAACTACATTTTGTTAAGACCAGTAAACCTCATTGTTTTGAAAGTCTTAAATCTAAAACTATTATGTAGACTTAAAATATATCATTGTCAGCACTATATAATTTTTGTATTTTTGTTATATTTATTATCTTTAATAAGTGGTGCTTATTTTACATAGACTTAAATTTTGTTCGCAAAATTAGTTTAAAGTAATTTTGTTTAATACATGTATATGGAGCCCTGTGACCCTTGTTATTTACTTGGTGTTACCTGGCCCAATTTTGAGTGTACGTTTAAACATTTTAAAGAATCAAATCTTGGATTCCGATGTTGTTTTTTTTTATATTCCATGATAAAAATATGATATCTCTGTAAGTTGTGTTAAGTTTTGTTATTTAGAATCGCATAATACTCAAAACTAGTTGTGGTAGAGCTATATTTTTATGTTTTACATTAATTAAGGTTTTATGTTATTAGAATATATACTTGATATATTCTATTTACATTTATTATAATTTGTAGTCTGCTAGTTTATTCAGGTAGAACATTACCTATTGATTAATTTCTTTTCTATTGGTCAGTATGATTTAGGCGGGAATCTTTTGTTTAACTTTTCTTTGTTTTGGACAGTTGGCTAAAGTCTTTATATGAAGTGGTAGCCATTTTCTTCAGCTCATTTGGAAGTTGTTATATCTTAACTTTTGAAATAGTCTAGGACTATCATATTCTTCTATAAGGTCAGTTTATTACTAATATATTCATTATAATAACATTCCAGTTTTAATATCCAAGAGTGAGTGATATATAAGTGTATAATTGAATGAGTAGGTGACAGTATTATGAAAGGTGTATGATAGTAAATGATTAAGTATTTAATATATGTGTAAACTATTCATGATAACATATAAAGTAATAATGATAAACTTGATAATATAGTTTTATCTGTAAGATTTAGTAAAATATATGAAATCTGCATAAAACTGATAAAAGTATGATTAATACTTAAATTTCTAGTAACAGTAATATAAAATCTATTTTAACAGTTTGTATGAGTGAGCGTTAAAAGATTTTATACTTCTATAAAGTTAATACAAGTAAATATTTGATTAACCAGATTTAAGGGGAGATAATTCTGTTTATTCTAATCTAGCAGTATTGCATAAGGTTTTTATAATTTTAATATTTTGTCTTCAGGTATTACATATATTGTAAAGAATGTAAACTGATTCAAACCAATCAGTTGGTGAAGCAAAGACCTTTGCACTACATGTGAGGTATGTTTATATGTATACAGTTTGTAATGTTCATGTTACTTTTATGTTGCTTTGCTTAAATGTATTGTCTGCTTTGTGTAACTGTTGCCAATACGTAATGTCTTGTTTGCACTTACAATTGCGTTGTATTATTATGTTAAACTAACTATTTTTGGTATGATACTACAAGCGTAGCTATGTATTTAGCTGTGAACTTAGTCTGTCGTTGCATATTTCACAATGCACGAAATACAGAGATATATATTATGTACTCGTTTAATACAGAATTCGAAATGGTGTAATATCGTTTTGTGTGGCTTGTTAAACTATTATTTTAAAGAGCAAAGAAAATCTACAGTTTTCTTGTATGCATATAGATATATTGATTTTATAGTAATTGATAATTACTACTTATTGAATTGTATAAGAATTATATTTGTTATTATTTCAGGGTCATTTTTCACTTAGAATATTTACATCAATTCTGATGAAATAAAAGAACCATAGACCCATACAACGTGTTTGTGTTTTATTTAAATACAAGGGAAACACGACTACATTTTGGCGCCCAACGTAGATTTCATCAGTGTTATTAAAGATCAACGATTTCCATTACCTGTGGAGGGAGCTCCGTTACTACGTAATAGATATTAGTGTTTTGATACGTCACCAGAAGTAATACGTCACTAGTCGATATACGTATACTGAACTCTGTGTTTACCTGCGGAAGTCAAGAAATAGGACAACAACAACACATGGATTTTCAGTGAAAATATTTTGCAGTTTTATGGTAACTATAATCAATGTCATTGTTCACTGTTGTGTTTGTTTGCTGTTTTGTCTATACATGTGTGTTCATATAATATATGTCATATAGATTTGAACTTTGATTTTTTTTTTAAAAAGCGAACTTTAAAAAAAAAAAACTTTGATGTTTTTTTACGTTTGTAAACTTAGAAACATTTAGATACTTAGCATCAGAAAACAAATTTGAAATTTTACGATTTGGTTTAACTGATATAGAAATATTACATTGTGATTGTGAAGTAGATATAATAGTATATAGACATTTATATATGATGTGTTTGTAGTTGTACTTTGATTTTTTTTGTAATTGAGACTTGACCCCTCCATTTATTTACCCCCCATTGTGAGGTCAAGGTCAACCGGAAGTCGTATACACAAAGCTTGTTTACATTAGCAACCACTTATTACATAAAGCTATAGTGATTAAGATAGACTTTTGCACAGCTGAAACTTACTTTGAACATACACACATACACTTAGGGTGTACATTTAAAATATTTTTACACACTTTACATATCAAGTTGGACTTAGACTTGATATAGTCATACATGAATACACACATGATTGATTGATTGTAGCTATTACATACACAGTTACAGTTACTTGTTTACTTGTGCATACTTACTTACATACACATAGCATACCTAGTACCCCATACCTATTAGTTGGTACTTGAACTTTATTTGTGTTACATTTGTATATGTGATATAGTGTGTTACTATATTTGTATTGTCATTGTGTATTGATAGATTGTATTTGTATTTGTGTGTTGTCACTGTGCATCGATATTGACTTTTGTGTTTTGATACTTAGTGTACATTGTGTTTATGTTGAATATTTGTATATTGATTCATTGTTGTGTGTCATATTGATATAATTCAAATTTTGAATTGAAATATAAATATAAATAGGACATACATTAGTTAAATCTTAAATTTTAATAGGTACATATTAAAAGTTTAGATAGAGCAGTAGTAGTCAGTGAGCCTGAATACCTTGATAACACTTTGTCACTTTAACCATATTAACTATCCTTATCCTTCAACCATGACACTATTACCCACTTTAGCACTTGTCTGTTAGTTAATTCTTTCAGGACTTAGTGAGTTATCTTTTCAGAGTTAGGGTAGATCACTAGTGTGTTTAGTGTAGTTGAGTTTAGTCTTGATTGGTTGTTGAGGTGGGTCATATTGGATTTGTCTATTGCCATACTCTAGTCTTATATTTGTATACTGACTTTACCATACTTATAGATAGTTTATATTAGTATATATAGGTACTTTCTTTTTGAGTTGAGTGGTAAACGTAGAAGCTTTACAACTCAAATCCAAGTTCAGGTACTGTATCCAGTAGGTAAGACATTTTGATTGTACTTATTGTGTATTATAATACCTTGTCTGTTTATATTGTATAGATTACATTCACTAATCTTGATTCATTTTCAGTTGCATTGATTTGTATATATATATATTTTCATATTCATTAATACTGATTACTTTAGTTTGAATTTCAGATAGTATACATACATCATACCTATTGTACTTAGTACATACTTCTTTGCATATATTTATTAATATTATTTTTTTTACAGGACATATTTCATATGTATTTATTTGATTGATTTTTTTTCTCTCTACTACATGTAGATTACTTTAATTAATAAGCTATCTTACTTTTCAGATTGTTTACAAACTATTGTTTGTCATTTTTTTTTCATTGGCTATAGTTAGATAGTCTTTAAGTACTTGACATTTTTGTCAGATAGTTATCTTTATTTCAGACTTTGATCATATTTCATTTTTTTTTTCTTATTCCTCACACTATCACTAATTATACTAGGACTTATACTTCATCATCATGTCAAAAGAAGATGCAATATCAGCTGAGGATTTCGCACTCTTGCAGTTACTCAAGAAGGAAGTAAAAGAGAAACCAAAAGGAGATGGTGCTCAAGGATTGAAAGAGTGGATGAAAGAATACTTAGCCACTAGTGGAGAAATAGTAACACCGAAAGAAGAACCACAGGAGAAGGATATATCTAAAACAAAGGAAACTGTCACATATACTAAGATGAGAGATCCACCCAAGGTATCAATGTTTTCAGGATCAAACAACAAGGGTGAAGCCACTTATGCCTTTTGGAGATATGAAGTTTGTGGACTCATGGAAGATAAAGTACATGACAAAGATAATATCAACTATGCTGTACGCAAGTCACTCAAAGGAGAAGCAGGAACTATTGTTATGCATCTTGGTCCAAAAGCTAGTCTACCAGAAATCATACACAAGTTGGACAGCATTTATGGAGATGTAGAAAAGAAAGAAGACCTACTTGCTCAGTTCTACAGAGCCAGACAAGGTGATGATGAAAGTGTAACTAAATGGAGTTGCAGATTAGAGGATATTATTGGGAAAGCAATTGAGAAAGGAATGGTACAACACAAGGATGCCAACAGTATGCTACATTCCATGCTTTGGTCAGGACTGAAAACAGAACTTAAAGATATATCTGGGCATAAATACGATACGATAAAAGACTTTGATGAACTGAGGATAGCACTGAGACACATTGAGAGAGATCATGAGGAAAGGAAAACATCAAAGAAACCACAAACAGCCAAAGCTTCAGCAATATCAGAACCTATCAACCATCCCTCTGAATTTGAAGAAGTAAAAGGACTTATTCAACAACTCACCACAAGGTTTGATAGAATGGAGACCGATTATAGAGGACGAGGCAGAGGCTATACTAACTACAGAGGTCAGAATACCAACAGATATAACAGACAACCACAAAGATGGCAAGACCGATCTAAACCACAAGCTTCATCAGCCAACCAGGATGAACGAAGATGTTTTAGATGTGGAAAGCCAGGTCACTTAAAGGTTGGATGTATTGAGAAACTGGATAAAGATGGAAAACCTTTAAACTTCAAGAAGTCTATGGAGCAGGACCATCAATAGACTTATGTACATCAGGAACAGCATCAGGTCCTAAAAGTTTACCACCAGGATTGTATGGAAAGCCAACAGAAACTGAAGTTGTACTATATGGAAAAACAGTGAAAAGTTTACTTGACACAGGATCAACAGTGTCTACTATTAGTCATACATATTACCACAGCAACCTTACAGATATACCTTTACTTCACATCAACGAGCTACTTGATATTGAATGTGCTGATGGAAAACAACTACCATATGAAGGATATCTGGAAACTGAAATTACAATACCACATCAGGACAACACTTATCCATGTTTGCTGTTAGTGATACCGGATAGCAACTATAACACTCAGATACCATTGCTTCTTGGAACTAACACTCTTCAACCAATTATGGAGTCATTGAAAGATCAACATGGAACAAGATTTTTACAGTCATGCAACTTAACAACACCTTGGTACTTGACTTTTCGATCCATTACACTTAGAGAAAAGGAACTTAGCCGCAATAACAACGCATTAGCTATAGTCAGAAATGCTGTGAACCAACCTGTTACTATCAAACCGAATTCAACCATAAAGATAGAAGGATACACTGACAAAGAGATACCATACAGTACAACTGCAGCAATGTTACACTCATCTGAACTTCAACCGAACTGGAAAGATCTAGATATAGAACCGATCCTTTTGGATTATAGATACAGGAACAACGGAAAGATAGACGTTCAGATTGCTAATGTTACCACAAGGACTATTACCATCCAACCAAAAGCTGTTTTATGTGCAATACAACCAGTCAACATTGAACAACAACCGAAAGATACTTCATCACCATCATCAATATTTGATCAAGTGGAAATTACAGAAAGTGACTTAACCGAAGATCAACTACAAAGAGGGATAGATTTCATCAAATCATTTGAAGATATATTTGCCAAGAATGATGAAGATATTGGAAACACAGAAGTTAAACACCACATCGATTTGATTGATAACAGACCATTTAAACAACGATATAGACGAACTCCTCCAGCTATGTACGATGAAGTCAAGTCACATCTTCGACAACTATTGTCAAATGGTACCATCAGACCATCACACAGTCCATACGCATCTAACGTGGTCCTCGTGCGTAAGAAGAATGGGAAACTGAGACTGTGCGTGGACTATCGTCAATTAAACAACTTAACGATAAAAGATAGCTATGCGTTGCCGAGAATAGAAGATCTACTTGATTCACTAGCTGGAAGTACATTTTTTTACCTGCGTAGACATGAAAAGTGGATATCATCAGGTAGAGATCCTGGAAGAGCACAAAGAAAGAACTGCATTTACAGTAGGTCCACTTGGATTCTTTGAATACAACCGGATGCCATTTGGGTTGACCAATTCACCTGCCACATATCAGAGGATGATGGAAGAATGCTTATCTGACTTACATCTAAAGATCTGCTGTATTTTCATCGATGATGTCATCATCTTTGGCAAGACCTTCGAAGAACAACTGGAAAATCTTCGCCTTGTTTTCAACAGGATACGTCAGCACAACATGAAGTTAGCACCAGACAAATGTTCCTTCTTCAAGAGGAAAGTTAAGTACGTCGGTCATGTTGTCTCAGCAGATGGTGTTGAGATTGATCCAGCAAAGACAGAGAAGGTAGTGAGTTGGCCTAAACCTACTAACCCGGAAGATGTTAGAAGATTTCTAGGATTTGTTGGCTACTATCGACGGTTCATTAAACAGTTTAGCCAAATCAGCAAACCACTTACCGATTTGATGCCAAATCCGACTATCAAGAAATCATCAAAGAAACACCAACAGAAACCATGGCAATGGGGAGAAGAGCAGGAGTCAGCATTTAAGAAGTTAAAGGAGTTGCTTATATCAGCACCAATACTAGGATACGCCAACAGTGAATTACCCTATGAATTGCACACAGACGCCTCCGGTACAGCACTAGGAGCAGTTTTATACCAGGAGCAACAGGGAATCAAGAGGGTAATCAGCTACGCCAGTAGAGGTCTTACAAAGTCGGAAAAGAGATACCCACCGCATAAACTGGAGTTTCTGGCACTGAAGTGGGCGGTAAGCGACAAGTTCAAAGATTATCTCTATGGAAGCAACTTCACAGTACTCACAGATAATAACCCCATGACCTACGTGCTTACAACAGCAAAGCTTGATGCCACTGGACACAGATGGTTGGCCGCTTTAGCCGCATTTAACTTCAACATAGTTTATCGTCCAGGAAAGACGAATGGTGATGCAGATGGACTTAGCCGTATACCACAACCAACTGAAATAGATTCCACCAACAGAGAGACTATCTCCATAGAATCTGTGAAGACCATCTGTAATTCCATCCTTCCTAGAGCATACATTGACAGTCTTGCTGTTAACCCAGCTGTAATACCATCACAAGAAGAAGATATACCGGATGCTGAAACAGTTGATTGGGCAACTGCACAAGCCATGGATCCTACCATCAAGTCTCTTGTGAAGTACGTCATCGAAGGAAGGAAACCGACATCTGCAGATGTTGGACCAACACCACTACTGCGACAGTTCCAATACCTCAAGATGAAAGATGGTGTACTGTACAGAGAAGTAATTATAGGTGAAGACAGGAAGTCACAGTTAGTTCTACCATCAGCAAACGTCAACGTTGTATTAGAGGCACTTCACAACGACATGGGACATCCCGGAAAGGATAGGACTCTATCACTGATCCGTGACAGATTTTACTGGCCTGGGATGGACAAAGATGTGGAGGATTGGATACAACAGTGTGGTAGATGCATAAAGAGAAAAACACCAGCCCGTCAGAGAGCACCTTTGGTCAGCATTGAAACTCAGTTTCCACTTCAACTTGTCTGTTTAGATTTTCTCACACTGGAGCAGTCGAAAGGAGGTCACCAGAACATACTGGTTATTACCGACCACTTCACCAGATATGCTCAAGCAATACCAACCAGAAATCAAACAGCAAAGACCACAGCTCAAGCACTTTTTGATAACTTTATCCTGCATTACGGAATACCACAGAGGATCCATTCTGATCAGGGAGCTAATTTCGAAAGTAAAGTTATCAAAGAGCTATGCACTCTGACTGGAATGAAGAAGTCAAGGACTACACCCTATCATCCCATGGGGAACGGGATGTGTGAACGATTTAACCGTACCCTTCTTTGTATGCTTGGAACCTTGGAATCTCATCAGAAAGCCAACTGGAAACTCTACGTTTCGCCCATGGTGCATGCGTATAACTGTACCCGACATGAGTCCACTGGAGTAGCACCTTACTTTCTAATGTTTGGAAGAAACCCAAGACTACCCATCGACTTAGCATTTGGCCTACATAAAGATACCAAGTTACCAACAACTCAGTATGTGAAGGATCTACGAGACAGATTGTCACATGCATACCAACTGGCAGCTGACGCATCGAAGATTGCACAAGCGAATCAGAAGGATGGTTACGATCTTCGTGTAAGAGGAGCAGCAGTGCAGAAGGGAGATCGTGTACTTGTAAAGATTGTGGCTTTTGATGGCAAGCACAAACTAGCAGATACATGGGAAGATATTCCATATGTAGTTATTGACCAGCCGAATCTAGATATTCCTGTTTTCACAGTCGTCAAAGAGAACGGAGAAGGACGAACAAGGAATCTCCACAGGAATTTATTACTACCTGTCGGGTATATCAGAGAAGAAGATCCAACTGTTATACCTAAACCAGTTCCAAAACCAAGGACAAGACTACAGAGGACAATAGCTGAACACCGGACTACTTCAAGTGAATCCAGTGATGAGTCTTCTGATGATTCAGTGGATTATTTTGATGTAGACTATGTGCTGGAAAGGACAGTTGACAGTGAACATACATTTACTGATGAACCAGCTGTGGATGAAACAGAACCAGCACAGGATGCCTTCATTCCGTTTGGGGACGCCCAGCCTGAGGGGAACCAAGGGCCAGAAATGGAGACAGCTACAGGAAGCGCTTCCGACATTGATGAGGATGCTAATCCACAGGAAGATACACCAGTAGAACAGGAAGAGCAACCTCAGGAACCAGATACGTCACCGGTACCAGTCAGACGATCAGGGAGAGACCGTAAACCACCAGCATGGATTTCTTCTGGTCTGTACGACATCGCAGCTATTGGAACTACCTCTGTTTGTCATACTACTACCACAGAACATTTGAAGCCAACAGCTGAGTGGCAACAGAAGGCTGAGTACATTTCATCTCTAGCTAGAACACCTTTGTTCTCAGGATTACAGCGAGAAGCAGCCTTAGCCATTCTGGATATAGTTAACCCCCATTAGTTTGTGGAATGACGGGACGTCATTTTATAGCTGGGGGGAATGTGTGGTAGAGCTATATTTTTATGTTTTACATTAATTAAGGTTTTATGTTATTAGAATATATACTTGATATATTCTATTTACATTTATTATAATTTGTAGTCTGCTAGTTTATTCAGGTAGAACATTACCTATTGATTAATTTCTTTTCTATTGGTCAGTATGATTTAGGCGGGAATCTTTTGTTTAACTTTTCTTTGTTTTGGACAGTTGGCTAAAGTCTTTATATGAAGTGGTAGCCATTTTCTTCAGCTCATTTGGAAGTTGTTATATCTTAACTTTTGAAATAGTCTAGGACTATCATATTCGTCTATAAGGTCAGTTTATTACTAATATATTCATTATAATAACATTCCAGTTTTAATATCCAAGAGTGAGTGATATATAAGTGTATAATTGAATGAGTAGGTGACAGTATTATGAAAGGTGTATGATAGTAAATGATTAAGTATTTAATATATGTGTAAACTATTCATGATAACATATAAAGTAATAATGATAAACTTGATAATATAGTTTTATCTGTAAGATTTAGTAAAATATATGAAATCTGCATAAAACTGATAAAAGTATGATTAATACTTAAATTTCTAGTAACAGTAATATAAAATCTATTTTAACAGTTTGTATGAGTGAGCGTTAAAAGATTTTATACTTCTATAAAGTTAATACAAGTAAATATTTGATTAACCAGATTTAAGGGGAGATAATTCTGTTTATTCTAATCTAGCAGTATTGCATAAGGTTTTTATAATTTTAATATTTTGTCTTCAGGTATTACATATATTGTAAAGAATGTAAACTGATTCAAACCAATCAGTTGGTGAAGCAAAGACCTTTGCACTACATGTGAGGTATGTTTATATGTATACAGTTTGTAATGTTCATGTTACTTTTATGTTGCTTTGCTTAAATGTATTGTCTGCTTTGTGTAACTGTTGCCAATACGTAATGTCTTGTTTGCACTTACAATTGCGTTGTATTATTATGTTTAACTAACTATTTTTGGTATGATACTACAAGCGTAGCTATGTATTTAGCTGTGAACTTAGTCTGTCGTTGCATATTTCACAATGCACGAAATACAGAGATATATATTATGTACTCGTTTAATACAGAATTCGAAATGGTGTAATATCGTTTTGTGTGGCTTGTTAAACTATTATTTTAAAGAGCAAAGAAAATCTACAGTTTTCTTGTATGCATATAGATATATTGATTTTATAGTAATTGATAATTACTACTTATTGAATTGTATAAGAATTATATTTGTTATTATTTCAGGGTCATTTTTCACTTAGAATATTTACATCAATTCTGATGAAATAAAAGAACCATAGACCCATACAACGTGTTTGTGTTTTATTTAAATACAAGGGAAACACGACTACATAGTCAGGGGTGCTATTTTTATATTTTAAAAAATTATGATAAGGTTTTTTTTTTATTATCATCTATCTCAGGGTACATGTACATTTTTGTTTATATATATATTTTTTTTATCTTAGAAGTTCTTTTGATGCAAACCATGATATGTTTTTGATATATATACATTTTTTTTTATATACATGTACTTAATTGTTGGCTACGTGTGTATTTGTTATAAGGTGCTCAAGAACAGTATCTAATTAGATTTTTTTTTTGGATATATAATGCTGTATACTGAACAGTGGAAGTTCATAGTTAAGAGGGGGCTGTGTAACATTTTATATGTTAGGTCAAGTGTGTTATCTGATTGTATCAGTTTACGTACATCTGTATTTTCACACATAGCCATTTAATACAGTTAGAGATCATCAGAGATTATATTAATTAGGAGTTATATTTAGATTTCTTTGTTTGACTAGTGAGCCCTAATGATTTGCAAATGGTGCCCTAGTAAATTTATGTAAGGATCACGGAACACTAGGAGCCCGGATCACCGGAGCACCCGGATTACCGGAGCACCCGGACTTCCGGAGCACGGACTACACGGAGCCCAGTTGCCCTAGTAGTCTATATTTGTATACGGGCTTGTAGGAGTCATATGAAAGAGAGAAAGAGCGTGAGATAAAGGGGAGAGAGAATTTATAGTGAGGAGAGGACAGTTACGTTTGTAGAGTAGAGAGGAGAGCCGTATTGTTGAGCCTGAAGTTAGATGTACATTTTGTTATACTTGTATAATGTGATTTTGATAATACAGTATTGAACTTTTATTCGACTTCGTGTTTATGTTCACTTACAAGACTTCGTTCAGACTGCACCAGGATCCATTTATTTATTTATGTGACCAGGATTCCCTTAATCACGCTACCAGTAGATTTCTAGGGTAACCCTGTTAAAGAGTATACTTGACATTTGTCGACGGTCTGTGTATGAGTGAAAGGCACGACCTGAAACTTATACACCCAACAACACAGCACAAACACACGGATACGCACTTTGGTTCAAGTACCATACTAAACTTTTTCGTCACATTATCATCATTTCTTTTTTTTAAACCAAAAAAGCTAATGATCAGATTCATATCAGGATTCATATATGGTCAGATCATATGTTTTCGTATGTCATATGAATTCTTACCATATGGAAATTGTGACGTCACAATGCATTCTTAATAGCACGAAAACCCATGAGACGAGGATACAACATGTACAAAAGCAACGAAATAGTAATTATCACAGAAATGTATCTATAGTCTAAAAATCCATATATTTGTCTTGTATATCATTAAGGAAATATGTTCACGAAACGTAACACTTAATCTGTATGTTTATTCACCATTTGTTTGCATATAAAGTTGTATTTATGTATATAGAGACGGCGTGCATAAAGCTGAGTCCACAAACGTAACGTCTTCAAATTACTTCAATCATTTACGACGTCGGCATTTTTCCCCAGAAAACAAACGCGTAACAAAAACACTGGACACTTAATTTATCACATAGCTTTAAACGTAAACGTTCAACATATTTCTTTTTTTTAACAACAAAGTGCAGCATATGCACATTCTGGAAATATAAATAAATATATGCTAAGAGCAGTGTAATGGAAATAATAAGCGACTATGTCGTGGACCCTATTCAGAAAATAGCGTTAAAACGTCATTTCTTTAAATTGTAACATACTAGCTGGACATTAAAAAAATTCAGGTGTTCAGCCTGGACTATCGAATCATTCATATTTTGCAGATTTTTTAAACCTCGTGTTATGCACATTTGGAACATCAAGCTATTTTGAAATAAAAAAAAACAATTAAATATTTTTTCCTACCGATTCTTCCATTTTCGAATATTAATCCTTCCAAATTACTACTTCTTACACATAACGAACTACATTCCAAACTCATCTACCTGGCCGTTTTTTTAATTTTTTTGCGGTGAATTTCGTATGACGTCATAGTCCGAATCCTAAAAATTCTATTATACGAAAATGTGGGAAAATATGTTGAATTTGTATAAATTTTAGGTCAAAAACTCTATTTTATGCTTATTTAATGTTACAAGTTTCACATATTTTTGCCGTTTTCTCTATGTTTGTTTCATACTTTATAGATTTAATTTTGATAACCTTATTAGTAATGTGGATTTTAATGGCTAGCATTCATCATTTTATCATAAAAAAAACTTCCTATTTAAAAGATATTTTAAACACGGTTGTATAAAACTACTTTTAAAAGCGCCTTTTACAGTTGGCTTCAACTTTGTGCACGCCGTCATTATATTATTATATTTTGAGTTATTCAGAGGGCATCAGGCGAGATTAGTATTGTAATAACTGATTGTACCCTCTTTAAAGTATTTATTATTATTATTATTATTATTATTATTATTATTATTATACAGTTATATAATAGAGCTAATTAGCGACAAGAAGGGACAAGAAGAATAATTTAGCCGCTTACAAGTAAAACTAATTTAGCGACAAGAAAATAAATTTAGCTCAAGATATCTAAATAATGATTATTTCAAATAAATAGATGTAGAAACATGCATTAAAGTGTGTGTGGTTTTGTTTTGAATATATGCATATTTTTTTTTTATTTCATGATACTGAGATAAGAATATAAACATTTGTTCATTTAAATTTGTTCTAGAAAGATTTTTTTTTTGTTATCAAGGATATGAATAAATCGATATATTTATAGTTTACAGTTTGGTGTATAAATGAATGATATAACATATAATATTCTTAATATGATAGGATGGGACATGGGATTGTTACAAAATGTTGAGATAGGTACATACTTTAAAATAATGTAATATATATTTATTACATAAAATAATTTTTACTAAAAATTCATTACAAGACTAACGTTACTGTACGTAGTGCTACCGTAGTAACTATACTTTATAAAACAGCAAACAATCAACAGTAATTAATTGATTTTTTCTATAATACATTTATTGTTTTGGTAGTATATACACTTTCTTGTCGCTAAATTTGTCTTCTTGTCTCTAATTTTTTCTTCTTGTCGCTTCTTGACGTTTCTTGTCGCTTAAATTCTTCTTGTCGCTAAAACCGAAGAGAACAATTGCCAAAGATAACAGAAATCATGCAGGGACAAATAATTTGTCTCTGCAAAAATGATGGGACCTCCAGCCACACCCTCAGTAATGGACTTACCGTCTATCATGATAGTGCCTTTACCTTAAGGGGGAAAGGGGGAGGGGGTATGTTGCTAACATTGGCTTCTGAACAGGTCCGAGATATGTCTTCAGTCTTAGAAGGAGTTTTTATAGCTAGTATACATGTATGCAAACATATTTATCTATGAGCGAATCGGCGTGGGACGTTTGCGCTTTTTCATAGGACATTTGCTCTTTTTTTAATGGACATTTGCGCTTCAATTCATAGGACAATTGCGCTTTTTAAATATGGACATTTGCGCTTTTTCTATAGGACATTTGCGCTTGTACAATATTTTCTTTATGGTTAAAAGTTAAATAGTCATTCAATAGCACATTCGTGTTTAAAAGTAATTTGATAGCACATTGATATAGTTATATATACCTAAAAGTAAACATTAGGAAGACAGCAAAGGCACGCATACTTATCACAGGTCCGTTTTCGCTTGATATCTGAAGCCCAATGAATAAACAATTTTACTCTTGTAATTTTTCCTGACTGGTATTTCGCCCTCATTTCAAATACATATTCTAGTCTCTATTTCTCAATTCTTGACTGAGATGCCTGTTCATCAATATAACGAATTTTAATGTAATTAACCGACTGTTGTTCAATGATAAAAATCCATCGTGACATATACATTTTTTTCCTGTACTTGTCTCTATAACGTTATACTCTTATGTTTAAGACTGTGCCAATGTGAACTAGCTAACGACAAATACAAGTTGAATTTATTTACGTAACTCATTAAAATTACAGGTAGACAAGTAAAGATAAAAAGCGCAAATGTCCGGTCAATTTTCTACAGGTGTATCAAAATTTAAAGCGCAAATGTCCTATCGTGTTACAGGTAAAAAAGCGCAAACGTATTGTTCCCGAGCGAATAAGGAGCTATAATAACGACACACAAAATCAAAGGCATCTAGATAACACTAGACTAAAGCAAAATGGACGAGTAATGTTTTATGCTAATTTGTAGTTTTAATAAAGACTTGTTGGTCCTTTGAATTGAAAGGTTAATAAAATATTCAACATAACAAGCTTTAAACTTCTTGCAACGAGGGGGGGGGGGGGGGGGGGGGGGGGAATGGGATCTCCCAATTACCATGTAGACATGATAGATATGAGCTGCTAATTCAAACAGATATTTTGTCACCTAATGCCTTATAAAACAGAACATCATCATATTAGAAAAATTCTTTTTATGCCCGCGCGACAGTATGCCGGGGGCATATTGTTTATAAATAATAATAAAAAATAGTACAATAAAATTCTTTATTTAACGAAGGAAACTCATTTAAAAATAACATGTTAATCTTCCCTGAGGCCTTCAAAACCGTTGATACAAATAGAAAAAAATACAAACAAATATAAAGCAGATTACATATTCATATTGAATAAGTACATATGCATTCAATAGAAAAAAAAGATGACAGTTTTTTTCCACTGTGTTTGAGCTTGTGATTTTGCCATTTGATAAGGGACTTTCCGTTTTGAATTTTCCATGGCTGAGTTCGGTCGTTTGTTATTTTACTTTATACATCTAATTTAGGTATCTTAATTCTGTAAAGTTAAAACATAGTTCGAACATTTGATCTTAAATGTGTCTAAAATATTTGTTTCCTTAATATTATTTGGCAAATTATTCCAGGTAATAAGACCAGAATAAT